GGAAAGCTGACATGAGGAAGCCTTTAGGCATAGAAACACTGTAGTGACATACTCCAACTGGTATCCAGGGTGGACTGGACCTTCATCCCTTTTTCCCTGCACAAACTTCCCTCCGAGGCAGTGCTCTGGGAGCACCTCCTGCCACACTGGACTCCAGAGCCACCCACTGTCTTTCAAGGGCAGGCTAAAACTTCCTCTTGGGAGTCTGGCTCTGCTCCCCTGTGGTCTCCAGCCCAGCCCTGAAGTTTCCCACACGGATAGCACAGGGCAGGAAGATACCATGGTGGTGAGAGCATTGTTTTGGCCAGCCATGCAATGGACCTTTGGTGCAGAAGGGCCCAGAGAAACTGTGAGCAGTTAAACTCTCCAGGGGGTCATGACTACCCAAGCAAAAAGGCAGAAACTTCTCAAACACTACAACAGCAGTAGCAGAGGACCGCCCGAGTTAAAGTCTCCATAGACAGAAAACAGCCTGTGTGTGTATATAGAAATATACATACATAATGCTGTAACAGCATAATATTTATGTTGTAGGAGTAACCAGGGGCTATTGCTGAGAGCAGGATCCCACCCAGACCTATTGACACAAATACTCCCCAAACACAGCGCGAGACAAAGATGCTCCTTTGCTTGATGAACTGAGAATGAACTCACAAGAACAAATCTTCACCAAAAAAAGTGAAAAAACAAACCCTAACTTAAATCAAACTGGAAGCTTTCTCTCACACTAGAAAAGGCTGAGGAACTTGTCATGATTTTACCAGTATAAGGGACTTCCCAAACCCAGTGGTGAGCCATTGCTAATGACAGGAGTGATTAGCCAGGGATGTGACTTGCCAACGGCTAGGGTGGACTTTTTCTTGCAGAACATTAATAGGTACCAATCAGTATGCTACATCCTTATGGTACTTACAATTTTCTAAAGCAAACCTGGGACTTTTCTAGGTAGTTACAAGAAAATCAGACTGGCCAGTTGTCTGCCTTCAGCCTGTGCAAACCTACAGGTAAATGAAGAGCTTGGGCTGGGGACCTGATGCTGGGCAGGACCCCATGGCCTCAAACAAGCCTGGAAGGCCAAGTGCTGGGAAGGCACCCTTAATTTTCCCCGTAGGAGAAAATTCCTCTGGGCATCACCTCTGGACGAGCAGGAGATGGCATAGCCCTCCCTGCTTCTCTCAGAGCTGCCTGGTGGGTGCAACACTCTTCCTCAAAAGCATGTGAGACCAGTAATGCCTGAGATGGGAGTACTTACACTGTATGTGCCCAACTATTCTCTCTGGGAGGCTGTGCATACTGCAATCCCTTGTAACAATCCAGATAAAGCTCACTTGGGCTTTTCCCTGCATTGTCTACTGCCCAGGGTTTCTCTTCAGAGCAGCACCTGATGGTCCTGGGGTATGAGAGTGGCTTGCACAGGGCAGCACCTCTCCCTCTCCCCGTGCCAGGCCTTTGAAACACACTCTAACCCTCTGCTCGCCTGCTTTGAGCTTTATGTTTTTCTTCAGGAAGCAGAGTGCATCAGGACTGAGTCCCTCTCAGTGGGAGGTGCAAGGTGTACAGGGGGTTGGGGTTGGCTAATGTGGCCTTGCTTTGCAGACTGCCTTCCTTTACCAACCCTCTGAAAGGGAAGGAGACCCACTGGCTCCCCCACTTTTCCCCCTGGGAAAAAAGAAGGGCAGTTGGGCAACTCAGAGGATAAACACTTCACTGATTTCACAGGGCTGACATCCAGGAGTGCTTTAAACCGAGAGACCAAAGGGTTTGTTGCTAAACCATCCAGGCTGCCAGCACAGAGCACTCAAGGAAAACAAACAGTGCAGTCTCCATGTGTTATTAGAAAGGTATTTCCCTGTCTGAAGAGTCAGAGGAGACAAAAGCAGCTCACATGAAATATACATTTTGGAAGGGGAGGTGGAGTGGACAATGCTATGGCACTGCACAGCCCTAGCACTGAAAGAAGGAGAGAAGTCTCCAGGGATTTCACAGAGCTGGATGGAAAGCAAATACACAAACCCAACCAAAGAGAATGTGCTCAACCCCTCGTGTGGCAGTGACCAGGGGAATAACTGCACAGGAACTCAGGCTCACAGAGAGCAGACCCTACTGCCTGTCACTAACACATGATCCCAGCCAACAGTGCTGGAGAATGGGGATTACTTCAGGTGGAATCTGTTGGGTTTTCTCCAAACTCCTCGTGGAGATGGCCTGTTCTCAGTGGCATTTGCTGCTGTACCACCTCTGCTCCCACAGTTAACTCCCAACTTCAGCGTGGGTTAGGATGGTCCTGGAGTTAGTTGGAGGTAAGAGCATGTGTGGGGTTTTCCCTGCAACACTTCCAGTCAGCATTTTGCCCTCTTTTATACACCCCAGTCACAGGGCTGCAATCCAGGCTTGTGACTTTCTAGTTCAAATGTTCTAGCTGCAGCCTGGCTTTGCTGAAATGCCATGGGAATGTTCTGAAGTGGATGTGGGGGATATCTGGGCCAAAGGATGGCACCAGGAGTCAGGATGCTGTTCCTGGAACAGTGAACATGCTCTAGATGAAGTTCTAGAGCTGCCCAGCCATAAATTCAGCAGTGCAGCCCTTGCTAAAGTTACCTGCAGCCAGGTATCTCACACGGATCAGCCAACACGTCACGCACTGCATTTATAGAGCAGCCCTGACTGAGGGTTTGCAGGTGGGATTGTCAGGCTGCATGTCATCAGTGCCACTTCGGGTTCGAGGGAAACTGAGGCACGGAGGCCTGAGGACACTGCCAAAGCCATTCTGACCCAGCCACACAGCCCCACACAGCACTGTGGCTGCTCCCACCTCCAGCTCCCTGCCTTGCTCAGCCCCTGGGGCAGTCACCCCTCTGCTTTTGAGGGGCATAGGGAAGAGGCAGAGCGAGCAGAGGGGACTAGCTGGGAGAGCAGCCTCCCCTCCTGCCTTGCTGGCTGCACACAGCCCTGCCTGGCCTCCTCCTCAGCTAACAAAGCATTTCTCTTTTCCCTCCGGAGCCTTTCGCAACTGGAATGGAACCAGCCAGATCATGATGCTTATCAAAAGCTGCAGCTTGAATTCTCACATCTCCTGGTGCCCCACACCACCAGCCCTAACTTTGAGACACTCTTTGAATGCCGACAGGGTATATCAAACCCTCGTGTTTCATTTAATGCAAGCAGTGATGGTTTGTACCCCGGGGCTCCTGCCGGTCCAGGCTCCTCGCAGGCACACACGGTACCCACAGAGCACAGCGGTAACACGAGGACTCCAACCCTGATTTGAGACAGAGATCACTTAACAAAGAGCAGCTAGCACAGAGCCACACTCCAGCTCCCGGGACAAGAGCCAACACACACTGCAGAGCAGCTCGGAGAGCTTACAGCAAGGATTTCTAGACTCAGACGCCAACAAGCACCGGCTCTGACAATCACCCCCATTCTGCCTGCGAAGAACAGTATCTCCAGCGATCTCCCGCTGCCCGGCTGGGAAAGCTGCGGCCCCAAACAGCTGCAATTGATCCCCTTCTTCGCCCGCCACCCCCGCTCAATCATGTGATGGACCTGCCGAGCCATTTAAGCTGCTGGAGCTCAGCGCTGAGTCACTGCGCGGTGCGGAGCTGGGGTCGGGGGCTGCGGCATGGAGCAAGTGAGTGCCACCTCGGACAGGACAGGGACAGGGACAGCGCTGGGCTGCCCGTGGCTGTCGGCCCTGGAGCCAGAGGGAGGAGGAGGAGAAAGGATTAGCTGAGAGGAAATGCGGGGCGGATAGATGGTTGTGGGAGGAATAGTTAGGGCTGACCAGCCGTTTGTCTTCTCCTCTTCTTCAGTGTGTTATCTAAGTGGGGAAGCTGTTCTGAGGAGTGTTTATATTCTCGAGTACTCTAGAGGCTTGAGACCCTTTGGAGCTCGGAGTGGTTTGGGACCCTTTGGAGCTCGGAGAGGTTCTGAGACCCTTTGGAGCTCGGAGTGGTTTGGGACCCTTTGGAGCTCGGAG